GATATTTTACACGACGTCAAAGACAGCATATACATCGTTATATAATCGCATTGATTCGCGATCGATCAAGCAGCGACTCGATCCCGCCCCCCTTAAAATCTCACGTAATTAATCATATAATACACCGACGGGATTCGTGTAAATGATATTTTTCCTGCATCCCGTGGAAATGTTATCGCGTCGGCAGGCCGGCGACGACGTCTGCTCGGACGGGCCTCTAGCCGTAATGAGCTCGTGCATCGGAAACACCTGCCAAAGGTTGGTTTCTCCGCTATTCTCCCGTGGCTCGGTAATGGATTAATCACGTGACCCGCGTGCAGATGATAGCGCGCGCGCGAGCAATTTACGAACGCGCGCGAAAGTAGTTTTGATGAGTCAACTCTGAGCGCACTTCCCTCCCGCGTAAATCACATGTATATAGAGAGGAGCGGGTGTGGGTGGGGAAGGAGTCGGTGCACGCGTGAGTGAGAGACGGGCGAACCCCTCGGTGCCTTCCTCCCTCACTCCGCGGGCAGTTAGAACATTGATCTATTGGGAGGAAACCAAACACGAATAGCAAATACGTTCTTTGGTTGTTCGCGCGTGCGGTATGCGCGTGTTTCTCAGGCGTCGAGCTCTCGCGGTAGGTTAGCAGACGCACACGCTCGCGAGATCACGCGCCGGACAAACCTAGATCTGAGACTGCATAGTACTGCACATAGTACAGTACTGGTATATATGAGAAACACGTCTTCGCCTCGCGAAAAGCAGAGGCTCGCTGTTAAGTGCGTGTTACCGCATCGGCGTCCTCTACCTGTATGAGTAGCCACACTAGCGCCACCTATGTGAGCTGGTAACCGCAGTGGCGTCATCTATGTGAGTGGGTACACGCAGAGATTCATTCTACGGGCGTGAGTAAACACTGAATATTCTCCACGTGAACGAGGAACCGCAGAAGCGCCACCTACGTGAGCGAGTAACCCGAGCAGCGCCCTCTATATGTGCGGGCAATCTCAGCAGCGCCCCCTTACTTGAGCCGGCGGCAGCAGTGACGCACCAACGTGAGCGGGCAGCGCGGCTATACCGTAAACACTCGGCGAACAGCGCCTGCTTCTTATCGCGCTCCTCGCGCTGAAAATTGATATGTGATTATAAGTTTTAAAGCGAGCGAGTTCGAATGCCATTTCACTATTCGGCGCGGCGCGATCAAATAAGCGCGGCTTGAAATTGCCTATTAAAATCGCAACGATTCCTGACTTTTGAAGCCTTGCCGCGATGTTGCTCTCGGCCGAGCACACGCGCGCACGAGAGAGGGAGATCAGAGATCGGTTAATAGCAAAGGTCGCGAATGTTTCATGATGCGCACGTTGAGTGCGGCCTTCTGTTGTTACAGCAAACTTTGTCTCTACCATATAGCGGCGTATGACGCTCTCAGACTAGCCCGAGTGTGCGTGTGTGTGTATGTGTGTGTGTGTGTGTGTGTGTGTGTGTGTGTGTGTGTGTGTGTGTGTGTGTGTGTGTGTGTGGTGGGTGGTGGTAGGGTAGTAGTATATATATATACTACTACTATACGTACGTACGTAGTAGTCTCTACTACTAATTAACTTAATAACTTAATTAATAATAATAATAATAATAATATAAT